CAAGAAACTTTCAGTCTCATATTTTTTTATTTTTATATCTCTGTGCTGCATTTCATGAACTTTTCTTAGATGTGTTTTTTAATCCTCTCATCCACCACAACTAATTTGCTATGAATCCATCCACTGAGTATTTTACGTGGCAATGACTATTTTATTTCCTTAGAAATCTGTTTTTTACGTTTAGATAATATTTTGATTATGTTTTCTGCTCCCTCTTCTATCTCCTTGATAACTTAAAATATATATATTGTGTAGTCTTTTTCAAGTTGTTCTAATGCCTCTAAATCTAAGATCTCCTGCTGACATAGTGGCTTGCTTTTGGGGGTCATTCATAACCTCTTTTTATTGTGAGCTCATCTTCATTGGCAATCATTTCTTCCCCCTGTGGTAATTATTGGTAATTATCCCGGGCTGTGGAAGTGCCCATACCAGGTGAGTGGGAAGTAAGTTTCTTTCATGGTCCTGTATCTGCTTTTGTGTTATTTTCTAGGTTTGGGGTTCTAGAACCCCTGGATTGCATAATTTGAGTCCTACATTTATTCATGGCTCTGGCTAGGGTTTTGCTTTCTCCAAGGTGGCTACTTTTTCCCACTCCAGAGGATGAAAAGCTTCATTGCACTGTCTTGGGTCAGCTTTGCAAGTCCCCTTTGTATGGGACAGTCTTTCCAGGCCTGGAGCTTCATGGAAGGGCTCAGTTCCAGCTCACCACCGCAGGGAGTCCCAGGCACGTATCCTATCCTTGTCTCCTGCCCCGATTCTGAGGTCTCTCCCAGTCTCTCTGTCCTATGACCCTAACTCAGTGCCTCCATGGTCCTAAGGTGACTCAGTTCATACCCCACGGTAGTACATCTTGACCTTCTCTTCAGTGAAACCTCCCAGCTTCACCAGGGGCTCCTCTCTCTGGCCCCGGTTTCTGTGGCACAGTTATGCCCAGAACCTCAGAGGGAGCCCTACAGCACAGATTCCTCAGACACACCCTCTCACTTCCAAGAACCCCAGACTCTGACCAGCTATCATCACTTCAGTCCATGACCTTCTAGCACAAAACTGTAAAACAGGCCAGTTGAGCCCTTGAACTTTCTAGCCATGGCAGCCAGAGCCTTCCATTGTTCCTTTCTCAGTGGTTCTTGACATGAGACAATTTTGTCCTCCCAGGGAATATCTGGCAATATCTGAAGACGGTCTTGACTGTTGCGGTTGGTGGGGAAATGTTACTGGCATCTAGTGAAGAGAGGCCGGGGTTGCCACTAAAGATTCTAGAAGGCACAGAACAGCCCCAACACACAGACTCAGCCTAGAATGTCAATAGTGCTGCTGCTGAGGAACTTTGAAGGCTGCTTCTGCCCTTTCTTACAAGTGGGTCCTGAATCCTCAGGGCAGGAGCCCTATGTTCACTAAGGGATGAAAACGGAGGGGAGCAGCCCGAGACCCTGGCCCCAAGGTATTCCCACCTCGGGGTTCAGAGGTGCCTCAGGACCTGCCGCAGGCTGAGAGTGCATCTATGGGAGGGTGAGTCTTATGGGAGCAGATGTGCGGACCGCTCCTGGCTGGCACACAGAGCCCCCTCTGGGCCAGGAGCTAGGGTGCGTCACACACACTCTGCCCTACCTGCCCACGAGGCCTCCTGCTCGGCTCCCTCCCCAGTGCAGCCTGCACGCGCTGGCCACACTTCCCTGTGTGATGTGGGGAGCAGGCATGCGGTCGTTGGAGCAGGCCAGGCCCTCCTGGGGCGGGTGAGGACATATCTCTGGTGCCATCTTTCCTGTTCTGATAAATAACTGATCTGTGGTTGAGGCAAGAAGGTCACCTCTGCCCAGGGAAGCTCAGGAACAAGCCACTTGTGACTGGTGGGAAGAACGTAGGGGTGGGGGCAGCGGGAAGTCTGCCTTCCCTGGCCACCAGGCTGCTGGGGGCAGATTTCAGAAAAGGGAAGTGCTGAGTTGGGGCAGCGCTTCCTGTGGTCGCCGGCAGTCAGGGCATCGGGGCGGGCAATGGCAAATCAGAGGGGTGTCTGCCCTGCCCCAAGAGGAGGCGAGGTGAGCCTTGCCTGGTCAGCAGGCCTGGGCCAGGAGGCCCCGGGCTGGGCACAGTCTGCTGCTGTCCTTCGCTTGTCCAGACTGGGCGTCCTGGGGAGGGAGGGACTTACTGAAACACCATGGGCCCCGCGGGACCCGTTTGGGAGCCTCCCGGAGCTCCCCCAGGACTTGGTCATTTGCCCCCTGCCTCTCCTGATCTCTAGACACCACCTGTCTTGTTCACGCACCTATTCTTTCTGCCCATCTCCAGACACTTGAGGGAAGGTTCCCTGACCCCCTTCCCTCCTGGGAAGCTCTCAGCGCCTGGCCTGGCTGCTCTGGGGAACCCCCTTCTTCCCAGAAGGGACGCCCGAGCCCAGGAACCTGCACTGTGCCTCCGGTGCCCCGCAAATGGGCAGCTATCTGTACTTTCTGTCCCTTGTACAAATGGGAGGGGGCTAGAACAGGGGCCTAGTTGCAAGGGAGGTGGCCAGGCCTCCAGAGTTCCCGGAGCCCATCTTCCCTCTCCTGAGCATCACAGAGCAGGAGCCCAGGTGCTGAGCCCGGAGCAGCGCCTGGCCTGGGAAGGGAACAGGGGGAGACTGGCTCCCCTCCAGGCCCAGCAGGGAGGGCTGCCGGCTCCCTGCTCACTGGTCCCTGACACCTTCCTCTGGCTTGAGTCCCACCCCGCCCCACCTTGGCTTTCCAGCCTCACTCTGGCCCCACCAGACCCCATCAGGATATAGATAAACCCAGGGGGTGGGAGCTACCCGGCCCCTTTGGCCCTGACTGAGCCCTGTGGGCAGGGAGCATGGCTCCCTCAGCACCCCCCCCCCGACCGTGCAGCCCACAGACCCAGCTGCCCCTCCTCTCCTCCTGAGGGGCTCCCTGGGAGGTGAGAGTGGGGGTGTGGTGGGGTGTAGGGGATGGAGCTGCCACTCCTGCCTCCCAGGTCCTGGCCGGGTCGAGTCCACAAGACCAGCACCCTGTCCCACCCTGCTGTGCTCCGCCTCAGTCTCCCTCATGTGCTGTGCTCTGGGAGGACCAGGTCAGCCCTGCCCCCATGCCCTTGCTCTACTTTTGCCCCCCCTTTTCACCCTCCCCATCTCTCTTGACCTCAGGTCACCTCTTCTCCCTTTCTCTGTCTCTCACACTGTCTCTTCTGTTTTCTCTTTAGTAAGTTCCTCCTGCCCCCGGGACCCCCAGCCCCACTCTGTATATATTTATACATCCGTCAGTCTGTCTGCCTGTTGCTTTCTGTGTTTCTCTCCCTCCTTATCTCTCTTTCCCATCACCCCACCCTGACCCTAGCTCTTCTGTGTCTGTCTCTATCTCCCTGTCTCCCTGTCTCTCCTCTCCCCCTGCCCTCTCTCCCTCCACACTCACCCTGTCCCTGATCTTCCTCAGTCTCTATTGTCCAGGGCCCCCCGCCCCCGATGCCCGCCCCCCCCCGCGGGCAGCTCGGCTCCAGGCTTGGCAGGACCTGCCAGGGCATTTCTTAGCTGCCCATGGGCCCTTATCCTGTTATCAGTTGGAAATGAATCAGAGATTAGGAAACGGGGGAGTGGGGGTGTTATCGCCCGGTACACACGGGGTTCTCAGCTAATCTCTGGCGGCCCCGGGTTCGAGAGGAAATGCAGTTGCAACACCGAGCCCTTCTTACCGTCACTGTCATGTCCGCTGCAAGGCTGTGGGGACATGAGGTTGGAGAGGGGAGAGGGAAAGGGCTGGGGCTCTAGCCCGCTGCAGGAGTGTGCACACTCACACCTGTGCACGTGTGCACACACACTCACAGGCAGGCACGCACAGGGGAGCCTCTTGGACCTTCGCACGCCTCACCTGTCACCAAGCCTTACACCTCACCCTCCCGTCGCCTCTGCAAGCCCATCCCGGGGCCCCGGCCGCTGTCACTGTTCACTGGGTGGCTGCTCAGGCCTTGTCCCTTGCGCCCCTGCCCGCTTTCCTCCTAGCAGGTGGAATGGCCCTATTATTAAACAGCCACGGGACCGGCCAGTTTCCTAAGCCAGCCCTCTGGTGGTTCTCAGGATCAGTCGGCCGTTGTCACTGTGGCCTCCAGACGTGTGTGTCTAGCTCTTGCCCCCACTCTGTCCTCCCCCTGCCCCCACCCCTCCACGCTTCAGCTGCCATTGTGCTGTCACCGCAGTCCCCTTACCACTCCTCAGCGCCCTGGCTTTTGTGCATGCTGTTCCCTCTGCCTGGAAAACTTTCTGCCACCTTCCACCAGCTGACACGCCCACAGCCGAGCCCACCCACTCAGCTTTCGTGTGGCTTCCTTAGAGCATCGCAGGTCCCCATCAGGTCCCTTATCTCCGGGGCTCTGGCCCCTCACGCTCTGCCCTCATGGCATGGGTCTCCCTGTCCTCACTGAGACCAGCTCCTCCAGCTGGGATTCCTTGTTTCCTGTCCCCCTCCCTCCTGACTGTGGACAACGAGGCAGAGACCAAGTCCTCTGTCACCTGTCCAGTATCTGGCTTGGACCTGGCCCCACTAGGCGGTAGTGTGGACGGATGTGTAAACACACCCACCCAGAGACACGGACGCTCAGGCCTGCACACAGAAACACACAAGCCCGTCCACACACGATGCACAGAGACTCCCACACAGACAGACACTCAGGCAGACTCACAGACGGAAAGACGCACACACACACGCCTGCTCTCCTCCAGGGGCTCAGCGCATCTCACCAGCTGCTGGGCATCCCTGTGACACGGCTCCTGTGCGCCCCTGCCCCTGCCCCTCGGGTAGGACCCCCTGTCAGTGCAGACCTCCTGGACTCTGTTGCCCCTGGCCTTGGCTTCAGGGAACTCTTCCCGGGGTCCCAGGCTCCCTGGGGGCAGGATTCTCTGGGCCTTGGCAGAAGTCTAGCAGTGTAACTACTCATGACAAGTGGCTTTCAGGCCCAGTGCATGGTGTCCCGGCCAGCATTAGCTAGCACTGTGGTTAATACAGCGGCACAGCATTAAGCACCTCTTGGATGGCATTTTAAAGAATAGTTATAGCGCAGGGAAAGGATTGGATGAGCGCACACGAAGTTGAAGCTCGGTGTTCTTCCCACAACGTTTTGCTTTTGGATTCAGTGCGGAAGTTAGTGTGAGTCAGGGTGTCTCTCCCAGCCTCAGGGAGGTTCCAGCTGGAAACAGGCTGCTACGGTGGCAGGTGAGGGTGAGGAACCGGGCCTGGGAGAGGGACAGCGGGCTATGGAGGGGGCAGGCCCGCAGACAGAGTGGCTGGTGAGGACAGAAGGCAGCCCAGCCCAGAGGCGGCGCACCCAGGGACCTCACCTTGTCTCCAGCTGGGGGCGGAGGTGGATGGGCTTCTGGCCGGGAGAAGCCAGACCAAGGGGTCTGCATTTCCTACAGCAGGAACGGGGCTTTGAAGCTTCGAGGCAGCTTGTCATCCAAAGCACCTACGAGCAGCTTCTCTTGTTCAAAGATGGCTTTGGCCATCATCACCACCCAGCTGAGAAAAGTGGTGAGTCCCTCCTCCGGGTTCTGCTCATCTCTGAGGGTCCCCTTATCAGTCCTTGCTTGACGAGAGCTTGCATTTCTGTTGTCACCAGGCCCTGAAAGAGGCGAACCAGAGACAGGTGCTCTGTCCACTGAGTCAGGGAGGCACGAGGGGACCCCTCTTTGACCTTTTTTAAAACTGAAAGGCATTTCCCCAGTTACTGACTCTCACCCCCTGCCAGCCACATACCGTCTTCCCCTGCAAAGGGTGCTCTCAAATGTTCCTTCCAAGGCAACCCTAGCAGCTTCTGGGTCCCTCTATCCTGATTTCCAGTTTTCTTTATCAGGCCCACGCCTTGCCCTTCTCCCAGACCCCACATTTACAGACGCATTGGTGAGCACGGCGTGTTTTGGGTGAACGCGGGAGGGGTTTCCAAGGCACCCAAGTCTCCTTGCACCATTTTCGTGTCCCCCTCGGGGGGCTGGTGGCTGGCCTGGCGTCTCTTGGATGGAAATACTGAAGAGTCCTCGGCTGATCTGAGAAACGTGAGAACAGGGCTGGGAAAATCGGCCGTTTTTGTGGTTTGGGGGTTTGAAGCAAGTTTCACAACTGATCTCCCAAGAACATGGTCCAGTCAGATGCTCTCCCTGCCCGGGGGCCCATTTCCCCGCTGGCTCCGGTGCTGACCGCCCGCCTGGCTGGGTCCAGAGGGGAGGGCCGGGGCAGAGGCAAGGGGCTCTGCCCGCCTGCCGACCCACTCCCCGCTTTCCTTCTTTGGAGGTTGAGCTCAAGGAGCTAGAAGATGGAGCCATTTTGGGGGGTTCTTGTGGTTTCTGCCTCGTGCTTTGGCATCGGATGAGGTATCCACTCGGCACCCCCCACTTTCATCCTGGAAATATTTCTCAGGTGCCCCGGGGGCAGCTGTACCCTTAAAGCCTTCATTTGCGGGGACAAAAAGGCCAAGAAATTCTTCTGTTGCCATGCTCTTGGGCTGGAGCTGACGAGCGGTGGTACTGGAGGGACCTACCACGGGGGTGCAGGGAGAGAGGCCCACCCGCCACGCGTTCCGATGCCTCCCCTGCAGAGCACCCAGCTGGGCCAGGGAAGGGGTCCTCAAGGCCCGGCCCTGCCTCCAAGCGGCCTGGCCCCCGGATTGTCCCTCCCCACTCTGGGAAGTCCCCAGCTCCCTCAGGCCAGCTGGGGCAGAACTGAAATTAGTGACATCTGCCACTCTGGCCCCTTGGCTCCAGCCCCCACCCACTCCCCCCAGAGTCTCCCTGCAGGAGCCTCTGGACCCGGGAGGAACAACATGCCGGGCCCTCCCTGAGTGAGCACGGCTTTCTTGCCCTCCACACCCCCCGTCCCAGCCTGGGCCCTGCGTGGGCAGGACGCTCCTACTGCTGGTGGTTGGGGTGAGATTCTGTACTCACCAACCCCCTGTTCAGGGGCACAGTGGCCGGGGGCCCCTGCATGTTTCTCAGACACCCCATTTCCCACGCCACATAGCAGAAGGGGAGACTAAGGCACCAGGTGGGGACATTTCTGTTCCAGGACACAGCGGGAGGCAGTGGTGTGTAGGCGACAGAGCCCCGACATCCTGGCTCTGTCGAGGGGGCTGGGACCGTCCTGTGTGTAGTGACCAAGTCAGGGTGGGGCTGGCGATAGGGAAGCTGGGAAAACAGAGCCGGGGCTAGGAGTCACCAGACTTGCGGCCAGGGAGACAGGCCGTCGCGTGCTCCATCAGGGGAGTGGTCGGGTGGTCACGCGGACATGGTGGGTGGAGAAGAGTCAGGCCAGCCCCGCAGGGAGTCCTTCCTATACGACAACCCTCAGGGGCCAGGGAGAGGTGCATGGGCAGACACAAATGCCTGGATGAATGGGAAGTCTCCAGCGGACGCATGGAGCCCTCTCAACAGAACCAGATAAGCTGGGACAACTGAACACACCCAGGAGGACAATTAGCCAGCATCTGAGAAACCCTCAGCGAGTCTGTCCTTCGGGGGGGTGTGGCTATGCGCAGACAAGGACCGCAGTGCCGGGGTCAGGCAGAGATACGTAGCCACGGCTGCGCGTGTCGGGCCCAGGAAGGCTGGGGTGTTCTGGGTACATCTGCTGGGTGCCTGTGTCCCCTTCCCGTTCCCTATCCATATAGCCCCTCCCAGCTTCCTGTTTCTGTTTTGGGGCCACAGGAACTTCCTCTTCTCATCATGGTTCAAAATGGCTTGCTGGTCTCAGTTGGAGGCCCAGTAGGGGGGCTGGTCACCCCAGCCCGAGACAGCTGCAGAGGGAGGGAGAGAGGGGCTCTGCACCCCTGTATGAGGCAGGGCCGTGGAGGTGTGAACTGGGTCTCTGACCAAGCCTCTTCAGCTCCTTGGATGGATGGAGCCTCTGGTGTGAGTGCTGCTCAAGGCCAAGGTGGGCTGGATCCTACTGGAGTGACCTTGAACAGTTGCTGTATCCCCTTCTTGCCTCAGACAGAGGACCCAGAGGATCTCATGCCCTTCCCTTCTCCCTGCTTCCTCCTGGGCGTACCGGAACTTGACCTGGGCACTCACGGGCAGCACCACACTGGTCCACAGTGCACCTGCACACCCACGTGCACGTGTGGCCCCACCAGGAGCCGAGCTCCGGTGGGAGCGTGGCCTGAGAGTGCCCCTGTGTGTGACTACCTTGGTGAGTGTGTGGGGGGTCCTGTGGAATACGCACGTGTGTGTGAGTGTGCAAGTCTCCCTGGGTGAGTTCGCCTTTGTGCACGTCTAGAGGGCACCGTCTCCTTCCTCCCAACCGGTGCCCTGAGCAGAGCTTGTCCCCTAAATGAAGCTGAGCTTTGTCCTGCCAAGTCACCGAGCCCACCCTGGGGGGGGGGGGGACAGGATGAGGGAGTGAGCTTTCCTGACCCTGGGGACTCCTTAGTCTGAGTCTAAGGTGGGTGTGGGGCCCAGTTCTGCACAGGGCCCAGGGCTTGGGAGGCAGCCACGAGGTGAGCCATGGGAGGGATGTGCTAGGGATGTGCCAGGGAAGGGCCACAGGGCAGTCCTCAAGCGGCTATTTTGATCCCCCGGGGACAGAGGAGCAGCCCCAGGCAGGCCTGGGTACTTGTGAACACCCAGGGTCTGCGGATGGGGGCAAATGTGAACAAGGCTGCTGAGAACCTACACTCACACCAACCTCCTTGCTCATCTAGCTGGTCCGGGATGAACCTGAGGATCCGTATGCTTCCTCCCAGAGGCGGGGGCCAGGGTCAAGGTCAGGACAGTGCTGCCTCCCCAGCACTGCTGTCCAGCATTTCCCGAGCATTCTCTAAGTGCCAGACACCTCCTTTAATGCCGGATGGCCATCATCGTCCCTCACAGGCGAGCAGCATGTTGCCAGGAGTCTGCGGTGTGGGGACCCAGAGCTGGGCAGCCACACACCAAACTCTGGGCCTGGCTGCCTTCTTCCCACAGGGAGGGGAACCCAAGAATCTGGGGTCACCGAGTCCCACTACTCAGCACCTGGTTTGCGCTCCCCATTAGCACTGAGGGGCAGCAGCAGAACAAACACTCACCGATTGTTTACACGGAGGGCTTGGGGCCATAATTAAGTCTCCACGAATCTGCCCTTTATCAGCCAGGTATCTCGAGCGCCTCCAAAGGGGAAACATCCCGGAGCATCTAACAAAAGAAAGTTGGATGGGTTTTCAAACTTTTTTAAACCCTGAAGAATAGGCCTTTGTTGCCAACTCCCCTCCTGTGGCAGCCTGCCTGGTCCCTGGAATCCCCTGGGCTGGGGGCAGGACCAGGTGGCCCCAGCCTCAGCAGCCCCCACCCTGCTGAGCTGAGCCCCCAGACCTCACCCACCGGCAGTCTCCTCCAATTGCAGTGGTCCCCACGCTGGCTGTGGGCAGGGCGCCAGGAGTGGGATCCTGGGTTTGTCCCATCCTCTGCCCTCAGCGCCCCACCTCACCCTGCCAGATCCTGACATCCTTCCCTTGGCAGGCACCCTTGCCAGCCTGGAGCCACAGCCAGGCTGGTGATGAGGGGTGACCTCTGATTGCCCAAAGCCCCTGAGTTCCTGGCTCCCCACTACCCCCACTGGGTCTAGGCCTGTCATTCTCACCTTTGTTAAAGCTGTTTCCTCTACCTATCATCCTTTTTCCTGCTCCTGGCTTCCTAGCAAATTTCTATGGAAATTTTAAGACTTCGCTGGGGGTGGGGGTTGGGGGGGGGGTGTGGGCCGCGGGGCGTGCCTGGGTGTCTCAGCCGGTTAAACGTCTGACTTCAGCTCAGGTCATGATCTCACGGTTTGTGGGTTCGAGTCCCGCATCGGGCTCTGTGCTGACAGCTCAGAGCCTGGAACCTGCCTCGGATTCTGTGTCTCCCTCCTTCTCTGCCCCTCCCCCACTCACACTCTGTCTCTCTCTCCTTGAAAAATAAATACACATTAAAAAAAATTTTTTTTAAAAAAACTTAGCTGGGGCTTCATTCCTCCCAAGGAAGCTTCCATGCACTCCAGGCCAAGTTTCCTGTCCCTCCTCTGGGCTCCCTGTACTCTGCCCTTCACCCCCAAACAGTTTCATGCCCCTGGGTTCGTGTCCTTTGAGGGCAGATCCTGGGGCAGCCCCACGCCTGGCACAGAATAAGTGCTCAGTTCCTACTTACTGGAGCAAAGGAAGGACGGGTGAGAAGGCACAGCCACCTCACCCAGTGATGGACTGTCACCCTTGGAATCCTCTGAGGGCAGCGCTGTTCACCCCACTTCACAAAGTGGGAAACAGAGCGCTGGGAGCAGAGACGACTTTGCCCTCAGCCAGTTGGATGGCGGGTGAGAGTTCAGGCAGTGAGCAGGGAGCCTTTTCCGTAAAGGTCACATGGTAAATACTTCAGGCCTTTCAGCCACTGCTGTGGCTGTTCACCTGCCACTGCAGGGCGGGTGCAGCGAGACAGAACCTAAGTGGCCAGGTGTGGCTGTGTTCCAATAAAACTTTATTTATGAATTTCATATCATTTTTACGTGTCATGAGATACGATTCTTCTTTTGACTTTTTCTAACCATTAAAAAATGTCAAAGTCAACCTTATCTCAGGCTGTGCAAAACCCGGTGGCAAGCCTGATTTGGTCTGGGACCCATGGTTGGCTAATAATCCACGTTTCCTGGGTGAGGACCAAGGGTGCTTTTCCCAGCCTGTCTGTGACGGGCCTGGTCAGTCCTACTTGGGGCCCCCAGCTCAAACATGGTGTGTGCACAACAAATGGAGTGAGCAAACAAATGAGTGAGCTAACTAACCTGCTATCTAACCAACTAACCAGTTAACTAAGGCTTTATCTCTTGGGCTCAGAGTTACTCCTTCCCATCTCTGGGCTTCCGTAGACCTGACTGACCCCTGTCCTCTGACCTATCTCATTGACCTCTTGCCCAACCCCACCTTTCCGACCTCTGGTCAGGCCCTCGTCAACCCTCAAGTAGTCCAAGGTGGTGAGAACCTCAAGAGAAGCCCAGGGAGCGCCTAGAAGCTGGGAATGGGCACTCATTACTGCTGGGCTAAGGGTGTGGTCTCGGGGTCGTGTGTGCTGTGGGGGCTTTGAGGCTGGGAGGGTGGGCCTTGTACCTTAGGGGAGTGGAAACATTGTCAGGGCAGACAGGACACATTCCAAGCCTCAGAATGTTCTGGACAACGGTGCAGACATAGGAGCTGCCAGAGCATGGGACCACAGTAAATCCAGGAGACTAGATACAAGGGGTCCTCTCTGCACAGGCTGATGACAGTCGGTGCCAAGCCTAATCCCACCAGGAGCAAAGAGTGTGGGTCCAAATTCTAACTTTAGCCCTAACCCACTCAGCTGAGCCGGCCTGTCTGGTGTGAGTGAACCAGGAGGCTCCAGGAGGCCCCAGCACGCCTGGAACAGGCCTGCCCCCACATCTGACAGGTGGCCATTCCTATCTCAGATTCAGGCATTTGAGTTCAGGATGGCCCTCCATTCACTCACGCAACAAACACTGGTCAAAACCACCACCAACCTGTCAGTCAGGCCCCTTCAGGTTGTGGATGATACAGGCAAGGTTCTCACCTCGTGGAACTAACAGGGAAGATGCGTGATGAACAAGCAAGCAAGGCCAAGAGCAGGGTCATTTTGAAGAGCGTAATGTAGCATAGGGCAGTGTACCTGGGCAGTGACAGGGGATGCTTCAGGAGAGCCTCCCCGGGGAGGTAGCCGTAGGGCCTGGACCCAAAAGAGGCAAAGGGCCAGCCCAACAAAGATCCAGAGGGAACCACAGTGCAAAGTTCTGGAACAGGAGCAAGCTGCTTGAGCCACAGCCCCCAAGAAAGGGGCAGAGCAATGAGCATGGTGGCGGGGGTGCGGGTGGGGGTGGGGGGGTGGGTAGTCAGGCCACATAGGACCTTCCGGGTTGCTGTGGGAAGGGCAGCAGATCTAAAAGCCTGGAGAGCCTTTGAAGGGCTGGGCCAGCCTGGGAATGTGATCAGATTGATGTTTGCAACGATTCCTGGATGTTGCCACTGTTGTATGAGGAGCTGAGGATGGGGACGCCAGGGCAAGACTCCTGTCCCCAAACGCAGCAGGAGGCTGGTGTGTGGACAGGAGTCTGGGTCCCTGAAGGGGAGTCAAGGGCCAGGTCTCCTGCTGGAGCAGGCGCAGAAGGCTGGGCAGGCCGTGGGCGGTGGGCAGGCCCCGAGACTGCTGCTCTTGGCCTGACTCTGGCGTTGGCTTGGCGTGCAGCCGCGGGGGAGCCGTGTGTGGGCACGTCCTGGGGCTGCCTGCCTGCCGCTGAGAGATAGGAGCCACAGGCAGACTGGCTCACCTGGGCCCGGCTCTCAGCACGGAGGAGGTGAGGTGGGTGCGGGGTGGAGGGGGCCTCCCTGGGCCCAGAAGCCAGTCCAGAGGACGGAGAGCCCCTCCACCCTCACCAGGCCTTTGGTCTCCCATCCAACCACTCCGTATTGAGGGCCCACCATGCACCAGCCCCCGCCCCCGTCACAGGGCCCATCTAGCCTCACAGACCTACAGGAAGTGGGTATCCGCATCTGGTCCAGGGCCAGTCTGAGATGGGCACCCCTCACCCCCACAGCAGGGCCACAGGGACCTCCAACCCCGGCCCAGTCCTGGCCAGGCTGAGGGATGTCAGCGACTGCCTCTCCTCTTCCCAGTCCCTATCTTCCAGGGGCACCAGGACAACCTGGGCAGCATCTGGCCCCAAACACAGAACCGGGTTTGAGGTTTGAGGACCCAGTCTTGGTCTCAGACTTCTGGGGGTGCCAGGAGTAGGCTCCGGGGTGCTATGTGGATGGTGTCTACGACAGAGGGCACCAAGCAACGTGAAGGCCACAGCCTGGCAGAGCAAAGTATGCGCGTAGGTGGGTCCGTGTCTGCGTACATGCGTGAGGGCACGGCTCCGGCAGTTCTGGGCCTCCCAGTGGTTCCTGGGAGCAGGAAGGCCTGTGTGTGCATGTGTCTGTGTGCATACGTGTGACTGTGAATGTGTACATGTGGGTACATGTGACGATGTGGGCGCTTGTGTGTGCGCGCACCTCTGTGCCTGCGTGCGTGTGGGGGGCCAATGAGTATGCGTGCGTGCATACGTCCGTGTGTGCGCGTGTGACAACGGGTGTGCGCACACCTGTGTGCACATCTGTGCTTGTGAGCGTGTGTGCCTGTGGCCTGCACTCCTGGGGCTGGGGTGGCCCTTCCGCTCCAAGAGCTCCGAGAGTTCCGGGGCCTGTTTTCCAGCTCCCTCACCCTCCTTCTCTGTGAGTGTTGACTCAGGGAGGGACAGGCAGCCTTCTTTCAGGATTTCCTGGTTGGGTAGAAGTGGTGCCTTGAAAAGGGAACAATTGTGTCCTGAGTGGACGTTGAAGGGTCTGGGTCGTGCAGTGCTCTGCGGTGCCCAAGGCCACCGGGCCGTGTGCCCACCTGGGCCGGGTTTCCAGAGGCGGCTACAGAAAGGCTTTCTCATGAGCAAGCCCACGGGACACGCTTCAAGCCTTTCGCTAATGCTCCCCGACCTGGGCCTCGTAGCTTGAGGGGGTCTGGGTCCGGAGGCCCCCGTTACAGCTGTGAAGGGGAGGCCAGCGCTCCCTGCGGACAGAAAGGCGTAAGCAAGGAGGACCCTCCTATCTCCCCAGGCACTGGCTGCCCTGGTTCCCCCACCAGCCTCGGCCAGGTTATTCGGACCCTCTTGCCCTGCACGGGCCCCATCCCCCAAAGCCTCGGCAGATAACATGAAAATCTTTCCAGGCTGCTGGTGTCACTCTAAGAGTGAGTGAAAAGTCCAAGGAAGGCTCCGTCATGCGGAGGCCGTCTGAAACACTGGCTCTTCCAGAAGGACCTGGAGCCTTGGCTCAACCGGGCGCTTGTGAGAAATGCAGAGTCCTGGGCTCTGTGGACCTGCTGAGCCAACACTTGGGCTTCAACACGGTCCCCTGAGGAGCTGTGGAGCCCAACACTCCTAGTGTTCCCCCCCCCCCAACCTCCTTCCCCCCCCATCTTGGGTCAGGCTGAGGGCAAGGCTGCCCTGGGGCCGGGAAGCATTAGGGGTGGGGCTCCAGACCCGGAAGGGAACTGGAGAAGGTGGGCAGCCAGCCTGCCAGTGAGCCAGCCCTGGGAGAAGGCCTAATCTTCAGGACAAAGTGGGGATTTGCAGCCCAAAGGCTGCTAATAAGCTACAGCTCTTCTGTCAGCACCTGCTCTCTGGAGAGGGAAGAAACTGTCCCCAGGGCACAGGGAGCCGCCTGCC